GCGTACACCAACGTCCAGCTTCTCATGTACGCTCCACCATGGGTTGCTACCCCACTTACGCTCCCGAGTAGACCTATCTGCCGAAAGTTTGGCCAACAATTCCTTACTGCTTTATACTCGCCTCTCTCCAATCGAAAATAATGCATCATGCGTGCTGCATATCTAGCTCCGCAGTTTTTGCGTGGTTGGTCTGGTCGTTCAGCTTGCTCGACGTGAGTAATAAGCTTTGCTTTGATGGCTCTATGTTTTATCGATCCACTTCAAGCAACGAACCCCCCCCCCCCCTCCATCGTCCGATCCATTTTGGATCTCACGCCGGAGAGTTTTGGGGTGTCTTAGCTCTTAAGTCCTCCACACCCCAATGGGGGACTGAAGTATTTTTTTTTTTATCCCGTACCAATAGGCATTAGCCTTAGGTAAGCTTGTGCTTACTTTGGACTGTACCCTCCTCATCTTCTGGGGGAGGTAGAGAGGGGGGGGGGCGCATGGCCTCTATTTTTCAGGGGGGGTTCGGGTACTGGTTGGGGGTCGGGTCTATGTGTACTGCATTCTCGAATTGTCCCCTCACTATAGCTACTGTGGATTTTCATTATACAGCTTTCCTTACTCAACACGTCTATGTGTCCGGCAATCGCAAACGTCACTGAACCCGTTAGGTCTCAATATCCAGCCATCCTCACTCAAAGCGTCTATGTGTCTGGCACTATCCAACGTCACTCAACTCGTGAGCTTTCAGTATGTAGCTATCTCCACTCAGCGCGTCTATGTGTCTGGCAAACTCAAAAACCAATCCATCTGTGAGGTTTCAGTATGTAGCTATCTCCACTCAGCGCGTCTATGTGTCTGGCAAACTCAAAAACCAATCCATCTGTGAGGTTTCAGTGTGCAGCTATCCTCACTCAACACGTCTATGTGTCCGGCAATCTCCAATACAAATCACCTGTGAGTTTTCAGTATGTGTTTTTCCTCACTCAACGCGTCTATGTGTCCGGCACAATCCAACATCACTCAACTCGTGAGGTTTCAGTATGTAGCTATCCCCACGCAGCGCGTCTATGTGTCTGTTGTCTGCAGTGTGTGGGCATACACAGCCCTACACGATTTGAGTTGTCCATAACTTCGACTAAGCACGATAATTTGGAATCAGGACTGAGTGGTCAAGTGTTACCTACATGGTTGGGGATGGCGGCCGGTACGACGTTTCGTATTTACTGATAGGTTTCAGAGCAACAGGAAGTAACGCAAGTTATTGCGAGGTGGTGCAACTAGTTTAGTGCTTCTGGACTTCCACGGCAGCAGTGTTGCGGCTTTTGGGTTTGCAGTTTGCTGCCTTTGGTGCTGTTCGTAGGCCACTTGATGTGTAATTTTGTCAGTCAACGTTTCGGCGCTTGAAGCGTGACGAACGCAAAGGTGTTCAGTGTCATGTATCGTTCGCTGCTCACGGATGGGGCGAAGAACAACTATTTTGAAACAATTGTGGAAAGGTGTAAAGACCGGCGCCCATCTTGATGGAACAACACACATTTATGCGTTCATGACTACAGCCTATCCTCTGTTTTGACGTTGTGTCTGCCAAGCATGCGCACAGTTTGCTGTTCGACATGCCGTTCGTGGCGATGCATATGGTTAGGTTGAACGAGCATGCATCGTCTCATGCTTCGAACATGGTTGTTTGCACTAACACTACTCGGAAAAAATGATCGTAAAAACGTTGTTCTTTATTATTTCGTAGTTCTTCAAATGAAAAGAAAAAACATGCTGCAGCCTCCGCTCAGTACTGTCTGACATCCGTACCCGTCTGGCTCGAACGCCTGCCATGGTCACAGGCCAAAAACCCCACCAAGGGCACACGCATCTCAAAGTATTTGGGTAACAAAGCGAACAAAATCAGACAACACAAGAAAACGCCCCCCACCCGCCAGACATAGCTGGCGTCATGTGTGGCAAAGACAACTTACAAATCAGCCGATAGCTCGATAACTCCCGCCGGCACGAGCTCCCAACAAACACCAACATGATAAGACAGATAACCAATCAAGACAACGAAATTGCTTCAACCTTTGTACCCTACTAGACCGGGGTGTAGTCGCCCAGGGGCTGTTGCAACCTTCACAACCTTGCCAACGGGTACCTTCATGTGCGGGGGCGGGGGGCGGGGAGGTAACACATGAAACTGCCTATTAATAGGCACATTTCCCGCGGACTTGTAGTTCTCCATTCCAAGCACAAGCAGTCGAGACCGGGTCATTCCAAGCACAAATCGAGACAGGGTCGGTATTTCTCGGCACCCCCACAGGAACGCGGAGCTCCTGAGACCAATGCTGCGGCGAGAAAGCATGACCAACGACAAAAACATTTGGCCTTTGACCCTGATACAAAAGCAGTGCGCCTTAGGCGCGACGTTGAACACACCAACTACAGTACTTTGCCACACGCCAACATGTCAAATTATGTAGGTCTTGCGAGGGACGGCTGCCACTACTAACTCGAGAACGCCTCAACCACAGAGGCGTCCGATTCGCCGCTTCCAGGCCACAACGCACGGCAAGGGTGCGTGAAACACTCCTCTCTCTTCAGCTGCACTCCTTGGCCACGGGCGTTCATGGCCATCTCCCCGTCGTAGCAAGCCTGTGGCATCACATGCAATGACCCGAGTACACACGTCATGCGTAGGAGCTATAGAATCTACACATGTACACATTCAAATGGACGGATAAAGCAAGGAGCGTGTCCATCAGCCTTCACTGCTGTGAGCACATCGATCGGCGTTGCAAGGCGACACGCTTCTTGCAACTCGGCTTCCCACGATAGGGTGGTGACGGGTGCATTTTCACGATGTTCGCCGCGCGCGCACAGCTCTACCGTTTCACCATTTGCGGAGTGTAGGACAACAGACAAAAGGGGGAAAAGCAACACCAATAACACATACCATGTTACATCGTACAGCAGTATACATAACATCGTCTACGACGCGTGTCACACAGCAGATGCGTACACAGCAGGCGCGTACTCTAAACAGCGGGTCAACAGGCAGCAGGACAGACGGACTTCTTGTACATGCATACCTACGCATAGACACGAAACAGGAAAAAAAAAAAGACCACAACAGGAGTAGCGTTCGATGTGTACTTGAATTCGAAAAGTCTGAACAGATAGGTGGCAGCTATTATTACCCTCAAGTCCAAGTCAGTGTATCACTGCAGCACAGGGACAAGGACTGCTGCAACGTACCTACAGTACCTTCGCTTCGTGTTCCTTAGACAACAGCATCTATGTACAGCAACCCACAGCAACACCATACCCGCCCCTTGTACGACAAGTTCAAGTAGCAGACTCACTTGATTGCGGTACTTGTTTGCCGCCGTTGAGCCCGATCGTGCTAGCACGTCCTGGATCTTGACGGCCGCTATGATGTGGGCGTGGTACACGCCACACAAACCCGGGTGCTCCGCAGCGGCTACCTTGGCTGCTGCGGCTTTCATGCTAGGCATGGGCTCGGGAGCAGTGGAATGATCGCAACACTCTGCTCCGACTCCGGCGGCCACTTCAAAGGCGAACGCACGCGCCACATCGTTGCTGGTGCCATCTTCCGGTGGTGGATTCGCCGCGATCAAGGACACCAACTGCTCGTGGCAGGCCTTTGGGTTACCCGCCTTGTACCCCTCGATGTCGGGTGTGGGCACCCCATAGCTAGGGGATGTGCAGGTTGTGTGCTTGTGTTCGTGGGAAAACAGGAGCTGTAGTGAGCCCGCAGGGCCCACATTTGGGAGGGGACAGAGAAGTACAGAAGTAGAAGTTCTCGTTATGGGTCTAGTCTACACGCTGATCATTTCCATTGATCATTTTGATATTATACTGAAAATAGAGTTGTTTAAGCAGGTTGACGACTGATCATTTCAAAGTGAGCAAGCCTAACCTGCCCTACCGGCTGCACCACGACCACCCACCAACACTTCTATGACCCTTTGTTCGGTCAACATCCTGTCGCGGGCTACCCTAATGGCCTACAGGTGGAGATAGCTGTGGCGTGTGGAGAAGTACAACAGAGATTTTCTCTGCACTTCTCGCTCTATCCGGCCGCTCTCACACCCCTCTTTATTTTTTTTGGTTTCAGAAAAAAAAAATATGACGACAACAACAACAACAACAACAACAACAACAACAACCAGCAACAACAACAACCCCCTTTTTTTTTTTTGGTTCCAGAAAAAAAGGAATATATGAATCGAACGGAACATGGGGATGGCGGACCACGCCTTCGGCCGGCGAGTAGACCCAAACCTGTGCACAGACCGCGATACGCTCGACACCATATGACTCTACATAGACTGAATGTGCGAATCAGGGCACGCCCCCTGGACCGACTTGCAAAGCTCGAGTGCTCCACAACGAACAGGGTTCAAGCACCGACCTGATCTGTGCAACGAAAGGGTATCTTCCACACCACCACCCGTGTCGACATTGATTGGCTGCCGGTCGGTCGTGGAGCAATCAAGCAAAGAGTCAGTCTAGGGTGTGTGCGATGGCCCGCACATTTACGGTAACCGCGAGCGGGGAAGCAGTTGCTGCTGCTGGTTATGGGTTAGGACGGCCTCAAATGCCTCCTGCTGTGGGCATCAGCCCTCCGCCAGGCATGTCTCGCGAGGTCGTCGCCGGGAGAACCGCCGCTCGCTCAGCCCTGCAAGGTCGTCGGCAGGCGTCTAGGATAGACCAGTCTTCCTCTCTCTCTGTGAGAGGAAGTGCTCCTGCCGTTGCAACACCGACCAGGACAAGGAAGGCCATCACGGNCACTAATCCTAGAGCGCAAGAAGTCATCGACAAGTGTGCGGAACAAATGGAAGACGAGGAGATTATTGAACAGAGACCTAGTTTATGGGGATCTGCTGTTACCATCGTAGCAAAAGCTGATGGCACTCCTCGATTCTGCGTTGA